AGATCTCGGGCGAGCGTTAAACGTAGGCGGACGCGTCGATAGTTCGCGAGTCTTCGACGTGGGTAGTCCGCGCCAGTGGACAAGAGGATTTCTGAGCGAACGCACAGCGGTAGCTGATGTATTTTGACGTGTCGAAGGAGAGACAGAGACCTACCTCTCTCCTTTACTTCTGCTCGTTTGTTCCCTTTTTCCCTTTCGAGTGAATTATCTAATGGACCATTCCCTCTCTCTCTCTCTTTTCCTCCCCACTGAGAAATCGAGCGGAGCAGCCACTTCTCTCCCCCTTGTTCACGGGCCCCGGAATATACGATTGATCGATTCGACTGTCGATATCGGTGTTCAGAGAGTGTGCTCCACTCCCGTCTCTAATTTCATAACCACGACCGCGGGTTTCTTTTTCCCGAACGCGTGATCGACGGCGTCGCTCGTCAGCCGCTCTAATAGGCAACTGGCCTTCGCGTTAGCCAATGCTTCCATCGGCTGGAAGCGTTTATCGATATCGATTGAAAGACGGGGAAAGAGGCGGAGGATCCCGGAGGTACCATACGTGTACGGTGTGTACACGTTTCGTCCATGGGAAACGGAAATGCCTGGAGGAAGGACAGCACGAAGGAGGGAATCGTCGCGTACCGATCTTCGATTTCTCCGGGGCTGTTACACGGCTGTTACGTTCGAGGCGAGGCGGAACAGAATCGTGACAGAGACAGTCACAAGGAATGGAGAACTATTGTCCGTGCAAATCGGTACCATTTACCATCGCGACAAAACCAATCGAAACGTCTCCTTACTCTTACAACGGAAATCGTTCCAACAGTTCACTAACCACTCTAGAACATTCTCGAAACAAATCGGAATAATTATCGAAATAACAAATCGTTCTACTTAAAATCGAAGAAGAAAAACAAAAAACCAGAAACTTCTCGTTGTTCCTATTACGGAAGCAAGGAACACTCGAAAAGGTGATCAATTGTGAAAGAACTTTGACAGGAAGGTCTAGCGTAGGTAGGAGGCAGTGTAAATATATCTGAAAGAGGAAAACTCGAGCGTGTTGGGAATCGTAGGTGGAAATCGAGGCGTCGCGGCCCCGGGACCGGGGGCCAATTCTTTGCCGGCTCGCGTGTATCCTTAGTATGCAACGTATGCAGTCGGTTGTTACCGAAGGAGTGGTTTGCCGAGCGGCCAATGGCGAGTGCTCGAGCTAATTCTAGGGTGCCGCAGCCGCGCCATCTTTGCATCATAATGCTGCGCCCCCCGCTTCTCCCTCGTGCCCCACCGGCCGCTCCTACCATCGTCCACACAGGGAGAAAGAGAGAGAGAGAGAGAGAACTCTCTGTGTCCCCCTTCCCACCCGCCACCGGCGTACTTTGCTTCGCGTCCCTCCTCCTGCTTCTCTCCCTCCTCTTCCTTAACCTCCTCCTCCTCCTTCACCCTCGCGCGCACTTTCTCCCTCACCCTCCCATCCTGGTGTCGTTGCACACCTATTCCAAGAGACCTGGGGAGAAGAGAGCAGTATACACGAGCAGCGTGGACAAGAGAGTGAGGAACACCGGGTCGTGGAAGAAACCGCGTTCCTTCGAAACGTCGCCACGGAGAGAGAAAAGACAAAGGTGTGCAGAGGCGAGGGGAAGTGGTACCGTGACCACGTAGAAGGGGTACAAGGGGTTGTCTGCGCCTTGTCTGCCGGGAATCAATCACGTATCAGTGATGCTCAACCCTGCTGGACACCTGATGATCGCGATGGGGGGAGTTAACACCCCGTCTTGGTAGATCATTCTCTCTGCTAACTGTTCGCCGCTCTTCTTTTTTACCTGACACGTGTATTACCGTCTCGTTAGTGTATATCCGGTGAAGAGTGAATTTTATCGAAAAATTAAAAGTACAACTTTTTTCGGAAAGTTTGCAATTTTCGCCTGTTTGGTCGTTCCCATGCTCCAACCTCGAAATTCTGCCTAAAAGTCGATCGTGACGATTTCTGTGAAAGAAAATTGTTAGGCTAGATTTTCGATGTATCTGTGGTTTCGAAAGAGCAGTAGGCCGAACGAAACCCCGATTACTTACAAACCACTTTTTGCAGGCACAGTTTCCTTGACGCCTCTCCTCTAATAGCATCCTACTGCCTCGCGCCAAGGATCGGTTAAAAATGACGATGCACTTGTGCATCGGAGCCGACGAGGGCTCGTTTCCCCGGTGACGAGACTAATTGGACGCTAACTACCGACTTCCACCTTAAACACAGGGTAGATCGAAGGAAAGGGGCGCGCGTCGTTTCCCTGTGTTCCGCGAAAACCGGCCAACAGAAGCGGCTTACCGCGTCGCTCGCGACCGTGATCACGTCGATAAAGGCGCGTCGACAACAAAGCCCAAGTTCGCGAGAGAAAGAAAGGGAGAGAGAGAGAGAGGGAGAAAAGGACAGTCGAATGTGGCAGGGAACGGATGATCCCAAGGTGCGAGACACAATGGCCGGACGCCGCTCACAATGATGGAAAATAATTAAATCGAGCAGGGGGAGGAACGGTTCAAACGCGCCGACCAGAAAATCTCGAACGATCCGCGTTTGACCATGTCGAACACGCTTAATATGATACTTGAATTGCACGGTTCTTGGTTGAATTTGAAAAAATTATTCAATCTCCCTTGCGCCTCGTTCCGTATTTCACTCTCAACGTAAATCTTCTCTACCGGTGTCTCTTCGTTTGCATTGAAATTCACAGGAAACGCGGTATGATTAACGACAGTGACACCGATAATAACAATTTTTACCCAGAAAAAGATGAATTATATTCCTACTAAAGTTGGAAAACAAGCAGATCTATAAGACTGTAAGACTTGTTTTCCAGGAAGAGATGGGAAATATACCATCGACTACGATCCAACTTAATTTACATCTAAATACTCCTGCTAGATCTGTCAACGGTATATTTTATCGCTATAATATCGTTTATTAGATAGCATTAATCTCAACACCTGGCCTTAACAGACTGTCGAATAATTCACTCCGGAGGCTAAAAATACGGGTAATCAGGAAGGTTCCAGGTGATCAGGTCTAGCCAGATAAAGCAATCAACGGACGTCGTCCCGGCTGACAGCTGCGTCCACGGAGAGTAAAGTTCGCGAGCAGAAAAAGTTGTTCGCGTTTGCAAATGGAGCACGTTGGCGAAGGGAGAAAAAAACGAGGGGGGGGAGGGGGAACCGGTTTAACCGGGTAACCAATTCGTAGATCGATCGATAACTAGATCGAGCGATTGATCGACGTCGATCCTCGGTTAGGCATACGTCGACAGCCGCGCACGGTAGCAGACGAGACGATCAGACCCCCGCTTAGACGCGTGTACGAGGAACGAGGCCCCCTGTGCTGGCCGTGAAACCCCCCGCGGTACAATGATACGCCAAGATAATTTCGTTGGACTTTGACCACGCCGGGGTTCCGCCACCTGGGGACCACGGGAACACCGGCGACTCTTTAAGTCGTTTTGACAGGTGTCCGTCGAAATCCTTTCGAAGAAACACCTTTGAGATCGGTAACGAAGAGAGTGTCTCAGTTCGGACGTCGATTAACGCTGTACTCGTGTCGTTGCTCGTCGTAATTTTCGTCTAATTTTATGCAAATTTTTACGAGCAAAAACGAGGTGGGTCTATTGTATAAATGTTGAAAAGTCGGAGGAAACGGTGTAGCCGGGACTTAATTTCGTTGTGACCTCGGCTAATTTCGTCGTTCGTTAAATGTGGCAGATTGTATTAACAAGGAAGGTAAATATAGTCTAATCTTAGCCTACGTAAGTTTGAGGAGAGGCAAGGTTTCGTTATCGCGTTCTACGTACGCTTCACCTTCGTATCGCATTCTTCTTTCATTTTTCCTAACCTCGGAACACCGTGTTTATATCCCGTGGATGGATTCTCCAGCGTAGGCTAATCATTTTCCCTCGGTTTTCTGTTCGCAGTGATGTATCAAAAGCGGTTAAAGAAGGAGCGGAGGGCAAAGAAGCGGCTGCAGGAGCAACTGGACCTGGAGATCAAGAGGCGCACGCAGCTCGAGGAGGCGCTGAAGGCAACGGGGGCCTCCTCCGAGCAAGTCAGAGCGATTACCGGTAAGCAGTACGCTTCCCGGTGGAAATGGAACGGGGAAAAGAGGCGACTTTGCGCGCGTGCTTGCTCGAGGATTATCGTAACACCGTGGAGAAAGAGAGGGAGGGAGACAGAGAGAGCCAAATATGATCGTTTTCCATCGAGTTTCGCTCGACGTTTTCGTCTCTCTCTCTCTCTCTCTCTTTGTTAGAGCCTTCAGGCTACCGGTGATCTCGCCGGAATAAATTAATTAATTCGTCGAGGCAGAGCAAACAGCCTGACACCCGGCAGAATACGATTCCTTACTTATCCCGAAGCCGCCGGGAAGAAGATCCTTGCCCCGTTCTCTCCGTCTTATACGAATGAACAGTCTCTCTTGGCCGTTCCACCTTTCCTCGATTCCTCCACGTATAAACGATAAACGTTATGGATGGAACGATCCTCGGGGACGGGCGAGAGGCGCACCCCTCTCTTCCTGTCACTAGCAAAACTCGAGAGCGGCAGCTCTGAAACCCTTTAAGTGAAATCTCTTATTCCGATATACAAGCAGGAATCCCGTTCGCGTCGCAACAACGTTGCTACTCCCGCTGATTAACCCTGTCAGAAGCAGGGAAGTAGCGATACTAATTTCAAATGAAACGGAGCACGCGAATCTACTAGCGTGCCTCGGAGAGATCGGCTGTTACGAAAGGGCGGGGAGATCTTTTACCTTTTAAGCTTTTTCGTAGTAGGTAGACGAAGGAATTTGTATCACGGTTTATAACGCGAAGAACGCGATCGACGTCGCGGATCACGAAGGTGGAGAGTGAGATTGATCGATCGATTGACAAGCCCGTTGATTTTTCTGTTCTCCGTCTAGAAAACGTGAAGGTGGAGGCACGTACGAGTTCAGAGCCACCGGAGGCTAGTCCGGTACACTCGCAGTCGCAGCAGCAACCTTCGCAGCAACAGTCCTCCCAGCAACCCCTTCAGCAACAGCAACAGGCCCAACAGTACAGGGAGGCTCAGGTACCGCGTCCCTCGCAGCAACCCTCCACCCCTGAGAAACCTGCATGGGGTTACGGGCTGGACCTGATCGGCAGCCAAGCGTCCGCCTTCTGGCAGAATTACCAAGGTCAGTTTTGCGCACCTAATTGAGAGTCTAAAGTTAACGTAAGAGCTTCGCTTTCCCGCCTCGCTACTTAGCGAAAAAAAAAATCTTCTAGGAAAGTTATGCTGGCTACGTGAAAGTAGAGACTTCGCCCTTTAAAACGACCCTAGATGGTTCTCCAAGTTACGATATTTCAAAGACCGATAACATTTCGGTGAAAATTTCGCAATCTCTAATTTTGCTACTCGAATCACCGACGATCCCCGCGGTGTCCCTCGCAAATCAAGCTACTTGCACGGTATTCAACGCGTTAACTATCGTCGAAAGTTAGATACAGGGGGGGAGCGCGATACCTCGGAGATCGGAGCTCGGAAGGAAGAAAATAAGCCAGAGGGCTAACAATGGGGTATCGAGCGAAAAAATTGAAGAAAAGCCACGGGAGCCTCGCGGGCACCCTAGGAGGCGCGCAGGGCGGAAGAGAGGGATAGAGGCGATCCGCGACCGCGATGAAAAGAGGGCGAGGACCCGCGTGGCAAGCCGCTAATTCGGATAATCGCGTTCCCGTATTAGGATCCACTCAATTTTTCTGATCTTCCGGCAGACTGACTTCGATCCTCGATTACCCAAACAAAAAAGAGAACGCTCCAGGGCGGATATCGGCGAATGGAAAATAGAAGGAACGGCCTGCGGAGAGGGACCGAAAGAGAGAGAGAGAGAGAAAGAGATCCGGAGGCGGGTGGAGAAGGGAAAGGAGGAACGCGTCGCGTCGGTATCGCGCAAAGTAAATTATTCGAAAGATCTCGACGGAGAATATGAGTGAGAGTAAGAGAGAGAGAGAGAGAGAGAACAATCACGCCGGGGGCAATAACAACCCCGTACACGTTGAGGGTGGATGTAGTGGTAGGGATGGGGGGCAGGGGGGCAGTCGGTTCTGACGAGGAAACACGAGGTATTTGAATAGGGTCCCGCAGCCACCCGGGCATCATGATGCGGAATCCATTTGCAATAAACAACGGAGATTTAGATGGGGCGGCGGGGTGGGCAGGGGAGGAGGGAGGGAGGAACAAGGAGGAGCATAGGTCGACGTAACGTCGTCGTCTGAGGTGGGTACTTACGCCACTGAGGGGACTTCGGGGCCGTCGTGTCTTCGAGTCATGCATTCTATACGAACAGCGCCTCTCATTCTCGCCCCGGAATACAGGCAACCCGTACGCAGGAAATTGCCCGGGTCGCGATAACGCTGTACTTACCTCCCAAAAAAAAGAAAAAAAGGAATACACTCGGATCTGTAATCGTTTATTTGGCAGGTTTCGATCGGAGAGGAAACGAGGAGACGATACTGTGACTCGGTTGGGTTGGGATTTTTCCTTTTGTTTTTGTTTTTTTTTTTGCGTAATTATTTTTACGCAAGAGTACGTTGAATTATTACACACAGTTTGCATTTAGAGTAGCCTTGGCAGTTCTCTTTGAATGAACGTAGGATATCTGAGAGGAATAATTGAATACGAAAGGAAGCAGTAGAGCATGGTGTTCAAAGGATTAAAGAGACCATAGAATTCAATTTGAACGGAATATCATATAGAAATCTAAAAGAGAACAAGAGGCTCGATACAAGGCTATTAAAAGTGGAGGAAGAGACCGGTCGCGTTGGAGCGAATCGCGGTAGCGTTTAATAGGCGAGCAAAGCGCGGCCGACTTTTGCCTGCCTCCGGAGCCAACCAACCAGGCGTCCATGGATGTGATCCTTGGCGTTGTTCGGTAGCCTCATCGAGATCCATGTATGAGCGCCACTGAGTGTAATGCAGAGTTTATGCACATCTCTGGCAAGTAAGGAAGGAGCCGTAATTTCCCCGGCGGCCACCGTGGTTCTCGGTGGCGTTACCTGTCCTCCCTCTCCTTCCTTCGCTCCCTTCGTTTCCCTTAAACCCTCGCGCATCTCTCTCTCTCTCTCACCCCCTTACATCCTCTCCTCTCTTTGTTCCTGTCCCTCATCCCCTTCTACACTCCAACTCTCTCTCTCTCTCTCTCTTTCTGTGTCCCACGTCCCGTTTCTCGTGTACGCGCACAAGCGCACACGACGATTCCTTCGCGTCCATCATCCAGCATCCACCATCCGACGAGTACGACCGAGCACTCCGCCACGCTTTAATATTCAGACTATATGCAATAATTTCGCAGCAACCATAACATCTCTCCCACCACGGTTCTCTCTGTGCGTCGCGTTCGAGGCCGCTTTCTCGCGACAAGCATAGTATATACACGTTCCTCCTTCTCTATCGTCGTTGTCGTTTATTTCTTACCCTAGCTATACCATCTCTGCACAGCTTCCAAGTGACGTTTCTTATCGACGATTTAGGAGGATCCTTCTTTCGAAACGTTTCGCTGTTCGATCGTGGAATTTTCGAGGTACGTTTTTCCAATGGATACCAGCAGGATTATTCCTCCATTTTCCATCGTTCAGAGTCGAAACGATCGGGGGAGTATCCCGGTTAAACGCTCCGGTAAGAAGCGTGCCTCGGTCTGACTGGTGGGACGATGTGCGTGTGCACGAGTTTCAGCGGGCGAATCTATTATACCCGAGAAACTCCCGACCGTAAAACCGGAACGAGCCGGGGAGTAATACAATGTTACTTCGTTGACTGGTTGTTGCAAATTCGTCCCGCGTATCTCAACAGGATATCTCCGCGTTTCTCTGCCAGTCCAAGAGAATCAAGAAGGTGGAAAGTAAGATCTATGGGCTCACACACACACACACACACACACCTACACTTCTACACGAGACAAGTGTTGTTGCACACGTTTCAGGTGAAAGAACGAAAAGGTAAAGAAAATCGTGTAAGCGACACGCGGTCTGATTCCCGGTCAGAAACGAACACCTCGATGAATTGTCGTTTGTTCGGATAGCAGATGATGATCGTGTCTAACACACCTGTATACAAGAGCACGTGCGTGTACCATTAGACGAAAGACAATAACCCCGCGAGAGTGATAAACCGTGACGCGTGTATACGAGCAATATAGCGGCGAAAGGAAGCTAACGCGTCGACATGGTGTGTTTTGCGGGGAGAGGGGGGCAGGTGAGGAGGGGAAGCTTGAAAGCGTCCCTCGCCGCGAATATATCCACAAGACACGACGTGGTTTTCTGGCGAACACAAGCCCCGGGACTAGGAGAAATCGGGAGGGTGGAACAGTGTGTATGGGGGAGAAAGGGGAGTGTGTACGGTGGTACAGTGTGCTTCTGTTTATGCGCACGGTGGTAGTGAAGCTGGGGGGGGGGGGCCTCGGTTGGTGAATATCGCACCGGGTCTCTCTGTGTGACGATTACGAGACGCGATTTTGTTTCGGGAGCCTTTTCCCTTTCTTCGTCCTTGTCCTTTCTCATTTTTAAGCTTTCGGTGAAAGGTTGCTGCCGGTGCTTGAATTTGCTCGCGTGAAAACGGCCGCACCCCTTCTCGGCGGGAACGTGGATCTTGTTCAATTTTGGATGGATTAAAAGTGAAGCTACCGGTAGAACGGTAGCCTAAGCTCAAAAAGTTTAGTTTGAGAATAGAAGCGACGGAATTATCGACGTTTTTAGATATTTTTTGAAGTTTCTATCGTTGCGGTGCTTAGGTCAGTTGTCGTGTGCGAGGTGGTTCCATTCGTCTAAAATTGTGAGTTAGGTCATTATTGCGCTGGTAGACTCAAACAGTCTATGATTTGCAATGTTACATCTGTCTTATACGTCTTACAGCGAAGCAACTAATTTCCACAAGTCTAAAGGCGCGATTATTTAATCTTCGTTACACGTTACAACCACTTAACGTCCGCATAAACTGCGCAACGGTATCTAAAGGAGGTTAAATTAATTTCCACGGGAGAGATGAGCGATACGATTGCGCCGAGACAGAGAGAAGTAGATTTTCCATTAGGAATCGAGGCGTATAGTAGCACTCGCTACGAGAATTCCTCTCTCCGTCCTCTCTCATCCACTCGCTTTTTGTTCCGTTCGCATGGTCGCTTTTTGTGTCTCCGCGCTTCTCCATGCACCTCCTTGATTCATACAATTTCACGGTCGGCTTGGTGCTCGAGCGCCTCACGACATCCTCTCGCTCCCCTGTCGTCCCCCCGTTCCTCCCCCGCCGCCACGGTCTTTCTTCTGTTTTACATAAAGATCAGAGCATTAAAAACGCGACGCTACACGAAATCAACCCCGCCGCCTTCATCTTTTCGTTCTTTCCGTTCCTCGGGGTCCTTCCTGTCCCTCCACCACCACCTCTTTCCCCCCTTATATCAATGCTCTTTTTCTCATCTCGATCTTCCTCTAACCTCCTCCACTCGATCTCTCTGCGCCAGAGTAAGAGCGTTCGAGCAATTACCGCGGCCAGGACACGATCCTCCTCCTCCACCTCCACCTCCTCCTACTCCTCGTTCCCCATCTCTTCTGGTGGATATGCCCGCGCGAGAAGATCGTCGAACCCGGCTGCGACGTTTGTTTTTCAGCGCACGAGGTCACGAAGCCCTCGCCGCCTCGGAAATTACTTATTACACGGCAGCGTAATAACCCGGGATTCTTCGATGCCTGTGTATACGGATACGCTCCTGATCGAGACACTCTCCTCCACCTTGCTCCTATACGCGCGTGTGTGTGTGTGTGTGTGTGTGTGCTCACGTGTGTTTGGTGCGCGTCGAGCGGCGATTTCCGATCCAAGGGACGAGATTAACATTTCTTTCGTGCGATACACCACGTTCGTTTCACGTGAAACCAGAGATGTGTGTGCGTTGCAGGGTTGAAAGTTTGGTACTACTGTGCACGGAGTTCAAGCTCGTGAGAATTGTATCGAAGATCATTTTTAGCCTGTGTTAGAGTTAACGTTCGCTGATGCTCGGTTTTGCATGAATTTCTCGAAACTGAGGGCAGGTAGTGGGGTAACGCTTAAATCGGGGCAATTAAAGATCGACGTTAGGTTGAAAAGGAAGTTTGTTAAAACTGGCGGAACGTGACGAGCGGATGACGATACAGAATGACTCGAGGATGGAAAAATAGGAGTATGTATTTAAGGGTTCGAGGAAGATGAACTTTGGGCTGTGACTGTGTAGGAGAGCTGGAAAGTGGTAGACATAGATAAGACTAAGAAAGACAATACTTTAGGGGACTAAACAGTTCGAATCGATGCTAACTCGGTTCCAAGGCAATAGTCCAGCTTTGAAAGAGCTTAAAGAAACGAAATGAAGAATCTGCAGGTGAAAGACGCGTGCAGGAGGAATTTCGAGCGTTCTCCAGGCAAAAAATCGATCAGATCCAGCCGGCACCAGCACCGTTTCCAATGACGTTGCTCACGGCGCGTCCAACCTGCGGGCACACAATGCTCGAATTTTTCAAGAACTGGAGGCGCAACATCGTCGCTCCGACTCGTATTCCTCCTCTCTTTTTCTCTCTGTTCTTCCTTTTTTCCCTCTCCCTCTTCTTCTTCTTTCTCCATCTTCTACACCTTTGATTCCTTTTCTTCGTCTCCTCTCGGGAGGCGAGTTGGCCTTCTCGCGATGCATTGTGCGCCAGTTAATTACGTGGCGGATAAACGCACAGTCATACCGGATACAGTGTTCGAGAGGGCTCTGTCTCGCCTTTCAGCGGGCCAGCAGCGAGGCCGAGGGCCTCCTCTCGGAGTCAACGGGCGAAAAAATCGGGGCCGCGGGACGAGGGCACAATACGAACCGTTTAGAGGGAAGATAGAGACTCTCCGGGCTCGTTCGACGTGGCCTGAAATTGTTTTCATTGTTCCCGCGATTTGTCAGGGTGTGTAATACGGTAGCAAAACTATTAGCCGGTCGATAGCCGTGGGATGTACGCGCTACTGACAAAAAGTTTCCACGCGTTTCTCGACACTTGGATATTAAATTATTCATTCCAGACATAACGATATTGTGCTTCGTTGTATTGTACTTTATTTCGGATTCGTTTCTTCTTTTTCCTGTCGTTTGACCCTTTCGTTGTTGCTGAAACTTTGTAGCTGTGTTTTCTGTGCAGCTTCTCTTCTGTTTGAAACATTTCTCGATAAGACTAACAGCTATGGAATCAAGGAAGATTTTGCAAAATTTGATGTCGCTATTGTATTAGGTTATAAATGATCTTTATTTAATCGAAATATGTAGTGTCGTCACATGCGTAACAGACGTCGCTTGGGTTGTTCGGCCGTACCGACGAGCCGAACAATACATCGGTATTCCCGATAGACCAGCACGTCCCAAAAAACAAGGTCTTAGTCGGCACGAAAATTACTTTACGACACCTAAAAACTCGACGCCTCTCACACCTGAACACCACATGACCTAAGATCATAAGCAGACCTTCGACAAGCAATATAACAAATGTAAGAACAAATTCCCCACTTTCGCACCACCACCAGACACACCCCAAACACACCGAAAAAACCAATCACCACACACTTCCACCACCTACGACAGTTTGCACACCACCAATCACAACACACACGTAGTTTATAAAATTTTCCAATCAGTAAGCTTAGGCATTTCGCGCTTCTGACCACTGATCTTCCGACCACTTCCTGAGTCCCCCATCCCGAGTAGATTCCTTAAATGGTCTGACTCAAAAAGAGGGACAATTATCGGTTTCGCAACAAGCACATCGCGATTCGTAACAGTAGCATTAATATTAATGGATTTTCCCAACGCCGTACCATTTTTATAAAATGATTAGTGTCTTTTTAATTCGATAAATTCTTTGTACATTTGGGCACGATTCAGCTGCACTATGAGACGTCATGTTCTTTGCTTATGTAAAACAGCTAAATAAGCATGGGAAACGATTCAATGAACGAAGGGAAGAGGGAACCAGAGCACCAAAATAAAACATAAGTTACGTCAATTCTTGATATCTAACCTAAACTGCGATTCGCAAATATTCGAACACCCGGTATATTATATGATACAAATGACATTTCTTCGCTAGATTTAATGTACCTTTAAATTAGGTAAATTCGTTAAATGCCCCAATCCTTATGAACAAGACTGTACGTCCCACCTCGAAAAGCGACGTTTCACATTTCGATCTTTTCCTCCTGGTAGCTGGATAAAATTGAATCGAAGAACAAAACGCTCGTGCCCCAGAAACAGGTTTGAACGAAACGAGACGAGACGCGACCCTTCGCAATCACCGCTAACGCTACGGCGTATCTTGAGCAGTTAAATTGTCATTTGGATATCAAAGGGACGGGGAGGAGGAAGAGCCCGCGCGCGGATAAGGGCGCCAGAGGTAATTTGGCTCAGTGAAACGCAAACACTCGGCTCCGGTACGGAGTGAGTCCCGTGGAATATAACGGCCCTGACGAAACGCACGAATTCACACCCACGTACCACGAAACAGCCCTCAGCTATTGTTGCTCAAAGCATAATGGAATCTCGGCCCCGACGCCGACGTCTCTAGCGCGAGAGAACGTCGCGGATCTCTTCTCTCTCTCTCTCTCTGCTCTACTCGGCCCGTGCTCCGCGCCGGTTAACTGGGATTTAATGGCCTCGCAATTGGATTTTACCATTGCTCGTTGCCCAAGGAGGCGCCATTTCACGCTTGCCGATTATACTCGCGCTAGGTCCCCCCTTCAGTTTTGGTACCGTGATACGCGCCTGCTCGTCTCTTCCTCTCCGTGCTAATCCTTTCGATTGTCGAACGTCGCGGCTGAAGGGTGTTTGTCGAGCTATTGTCGAGTGATTTTGGTCATTTCGCGGGGAGCTTAAGCGTCTTTCTAACCCCTTGACATACACTTGTTCTTCTATTTCTCTTTTTTTTCTTGTCGATCTAGAAGTGCTTTCCTATTCTCAATCTCTTTTTATCTAAATGCATTTGTACGTTCTTTTCTCTCTATTTTTTTTTTGTCAATCTCGAAATGCTTTCTTTCTCTAAATCTCTTCTCATCGATGCGATTAATTTGGGATCACTGATTGCTTAAGTTTCTTTTCAACCCTTTGAAATGCACTTGTTCTCTACTCTTTTTCTTGTCAATCTCGGAATGCCTTCTTTCTCTCAATCTCCTCTTATGAATAGTTACATCGATGCAGTTAAATTAGGATCGCTGATTGCGGAAACTCTATCTTCACCAGAGTAGAGAATGAATTTTTCAATTCGACTTCGCTCTCGAGTTTATTGCAATTCCAAGGATCTCCCAGTTGGAATTTTCCATCGGGAAAGGATACAACGGGTGTAAAAGAGTTTTTCTTGTCGCGTTTAGAGGAGAGGTCTGGCGAGATTGGTCGAAGGGATGTCGTTCCGTGGGCTTAACGAAGTAGACCGAAACGAGGAGCCCGCCCGCGGTTAATTCGGCGCGATATCATTAAAGGGACATTTTCCAGTTTTCACCCTAATCCTTGCGGAATTCAGTGAGCAAACCCGCCGCGGCCCTTTCACGCCTGCCTTCGTCCGTTATCCCTGTCCCGTCCCTTCTCCTTTCCCCTTTCTCGCAGTTCGCGCTCGCTGGTTTTCCACTAATTACCGCTCCGTTTCATCCTTCGCGCGCGTTTCGGTTCACGCCTCGGCGAAGTCGACGCCAAGACGCGCTCGTCTCCTCTTTCTCTTCCGGTATGTTCTCGCCGGATCGTTCGATGGAAGGAGATCGAATCGACGTGAATTTGCCTAAATATCTGTTACTTCGTTAACCCTTACTCTCGCTGGATAATCGTCTCCGTGGCCTAACGAATGATAAAACTGACCTGAAAATTTAGCGTACTTTAAGGATTGATTCCTCCATTTCTTCACGCGTGTAACTAACAAATCTCTCGCATGTTTTCTGTCGCAGAATCGCTGGTGCAGGAGCTGGAACTGGAGCGAAAATCGCGGCAACACCAGGCGGCCGAGAGGGACCAGGTGAAGTCTCCTCTTCAAGGTGCGTTCATCAACACGCCAAGCAAACGAAACAACTCCCCTCCGTATCATGCTACCACGAACATAATGTAAAAAAGAAAGAAAGAAAGAAAAATACACATACACACGTAGAGAAAAAAAGAAACACCACTCGAAAGATCAACAAGATCGGTAAAACTTCCCCTTGGAAACAACTCCTGGAAGCATCGAAGGAGGCAGCCGCGAGGGAAATTCGACGTCGAACAGAAACGAAACTACTCTCGATTCCGCGGGGCTGGATCAGCGAGCGGGAATTTCTTGCGACAGGCGAGCAAAGTTCCAAGATCTTTAATTAGAAAGTCTCGCGAGCCGGTCGCGTTTCGAAGAGGGGATGTTTCTTGCAGCGTCGTCACCGGCACACGCCGCCGGATTCGAAACTTCCGCTCGCGGAAACTTGTCAAAAGTTCCAGCCGTTCTCGAACGCTTCGGCAAAAACCGTCTGCCGTGATTTCGACGTCTCTCACTCTCTCTTCCATTCTCTCTCTCTCTCTCTCTCTCTCCCTCTGTTCGTCGTCTTGGTCGATTCGAACGGCCCCCGACGTGACGCGGCACGTAAATAATCGTTTTTCTCCCCGCGACCGGGGTCCTCCTGGCAGCCCGCTTAACGAGTGGTCCCTTAATTGGCCGCGGCTCCGTAAAGTCAACTCTTCATCGGCGGAATAATCGTTGCACGGGCCCTTTTTCTCTCTCTCTCTCTCTCTCTTTCTCTCGTTCTCTCTTTTCGAAATTAAGCGCGTCCGCTTCGGGAATATCTGCGTTGGACACTGGAAGCTCCGCGGTTAATTTAAGATCGTGTTAAATTGCCGCTTAAGGGGTTGCATCCACATTCTTGATTCTGACGTGTACCCGCGGCGAAACTTCAAGTTTCGAGAATGTTACAGTGAAAGTTTCTGCTGGATATGTTTGTGTATTAACGAGATGTTGCACGGTTTTCGAGAAAATTCTCGTACACGGTTGTTTCTTAAACGTTAGGGATCTTTGCAACATGCTGGCCAATTCCGAGGGAAATTTTCTTTCAAAGAGAACTCGAGTCTACTTGAATAGAAAAAAAGACGTCTAATTTCACAGGCAGAGAAGAGAAAAAAAACTGCCCCCCTTTTCAATTTTTCCACACAGATGCAACCCCTTATTAAATTGGTTTCTTTCAGCCAGAAAACAGGTGAGCCTCGAAAACGAGACACGGCAAACAAGAGTATAGGTTCGAAAACGGAGCGATATATAGCGGAGAGGAAACGGAGTAAACTCGGAGAGGCTTCGGTGGTAGTAGACTATTAAAGCACGTGGTGATTTTCAATCATAAGCGACAGTTCGATAAAAAGTCGAGTGGCGGCTCGATCACAAAGGCGGCCAGGGGGCCGATGAGTCGACCAGTCTCGTATTTACGAACGCGCCCGATAGGACCCATCCTCGGTCTCTCTTCTGCCTATGTATCTGCGCCTCGTCCTCTTTCGCGGTTCATCTACGTCTCGCAGGAGAGGCAAGGATAATTAGTGAGCGGCGCCGCTTCCAGCCGAACGATCATCATCGAATCATTCGCCCAGTCCTCTCTTCTTATTCACGAATCTCACTCGATCTCTCCTTTCGGTCAATCGCGAGGTATAGGGTGACTCCTCGTGCAAAAAACAATCGAAACTGTGGAACCAGACTTTTCGATGGGAACCTTCGTTTTCGAGGAAAAGAACGCTTGAAGAATTCGCGAGGCCCTGCTTCGCCATTTTTTTTTTTACTAGAATTTACCCCGTTTCTATTTTCATATTTTTTTACATCGATATTGACAACGCCACGATTAGAATTTCATCTTTCCCATCCTTTTCATCGTCGATTCAATCCGCCATTTTTACGCGACTTTCTTCGCGAAACTTTCTCGAAAACGCAGTTTTAGACGAAAACAAATTTTACTGTACATATCTATCTATTTTTAACAGAGGAATCGTCCTGCGCCCGAATATTATCACCTGTTCTCACCTATAAATAGAAAAGGAGCATTTTCACGCGACACGGAGGATAATTCGAGCGTTCCCGCCACACTTGACCCGTATCTGTTTCAGAATCCCGAACGGGCTACTACAAGAACTCCGTTCTCTTCACGAGTGCGACCTAGAAGAGGCTGGAAGAGAGCAGACGAGGGGCAGAGCGTCTATCGGCGAGCAGCCAAAACGAGTAGAGCAAAGCGATCGAGGGAAGTGCATGAAATACCATGAAAAAAAGTGCCGTAGCCGAGAGACTCTTTATCATATACATATATATATATAAATATAGTTTCGTTGTGAAACAGTCAAATGTACAAGGTGATACGCTAAATCGTGATTGAACGAAAGAACCTGAGAACTGTCTAAGGAAAGTGCATACAGAACAAGAGGGACAAATGTATTTCGAAATGTTTGCTAGAATATTTGGCTCGATCGAACGAAAACGAAAAAGAAAAAGACAAAAAACAAAAACCCGCGGAAAAAAAAGTGCGCTCGTTTTCTCTATCAGCTCCTCTTCGAGAATCGAGGGGGACTGACCTCGTGAATAATTGTACGATTCGACGAGAAAAAAGAATCGAGTCTCGATGGAAACACACATATCAACGGAGAGCCAGAGATACCGTATCGGGTATATAGGATATTCCTTCGTAAAAGGAAGAGGAACACACTCGATCGAGTGGGGGAAACGGAAAAAGGAGAGAAAAAGAAACGGTAAGATGGTCGTTCCGCCAGAAGCGAAACGGTACATTATAAAACGCGAATTGTATACCACGTCCATGGATGTATCGATTATACCCGGGGACCTACAGTCGGGAAAGAAAAATAAAGAAAAGAAACGCGCGTGACTTTCATGTTTTCGTAAGAGTTACATACACGGGCGTACGAAATGTAGAGGAGAGAGGCGAAGGGGAGGGGGAGTAATACGAACGAAGGAAGAGAGACACGGAGGGACATTTCTAAAGACTGCTTTGAGAGTGCGTGCGCGCGTGCATGCGTTCCTAGAGGTACCTATCTCCTAATTATCGAGCGACTTCATTAGCTAATCGTGTTAAGCTGTATACGTGGGCGGGCGGTCGGCCGCGTGTACGCGTCGGTTTCGAGTATTATTATCGACTATTATTAATATTATTTCTCCGATCAGCGGTGCGTGTACCAGGCGGGCCCGATCGTCCAACGGAGAAAGAAACGAGAATTAGAGGGACGAAGAGACATGCGCGTCGAGACTCGTGTGCTCGTATCACCTAACGACGGTGTCTCTTCTTGAGAGAAAAATCTAAGGGAAATTCCGCTTGCGAATTTAAGCGCGATAGAAGGAAATTCCAAGTGGGTTACGAGCCACGATCTTCGATATTTTTGTGTATCATATAGAACGAGAGAGAAGCTGTGTGAATGTGCGTGGATGAATTTTTTTTCTATAACGACGGAAGTAGCGACGGAGAAATTGGACGGGCGAGGAGGAAAATCGTAGAACGAATAGGACAAGCTTCGGTTAGACGAGATTTGAGAGATGGTCATAGAAAGGATTGCGAGTGTGAGCGTAACTGAGATAAAGAGAAAAAAAAAATAACAAAAAGAAGAGAAAAGAAACGGGGAGAGACAACGGAGGATCTTCTCCCTGAAATGCGTTTTAAATCGTAAACACCTTATTTATATAAATAAACTTAGTTACTACCGTCGACAAGTAAGGCTAATGCATATTGCGTGTGTCCCGCGTTTTGCGTTGTGGATCGAGAGACACGGCGAAATATTCTCCCTTGGTGAGACTGGATGGAAAACGGACAAGAAGTAACAGCAAACGCTAAGAGTCGAGCCACCGAGGATATTTCACCGGGTGGTTTCGATCACCGTATTTAAGATCCATGTACAAAGTCTTTTGCCCGTAAGGTTCTTGTGTTGTAAAGTTCACATAATCATAGTGTCTAGATCGTACATACCGGCTAAAGCCCGTTAAGACGATGCTACACGTAGTGAAACGAGAATTTAACCACCGATAGCTCATCTGTATTTGCCATCGCCACTACCAATCGAAACAGGGGTCAATTCTCGCGGTGGAGAATCGCTGGTATTTAAAAAGAAGAAGAAAAAAGGAAAAATCAAATTACGGTATAAAAATCTTCGCGGTAAAAAAAATTCGCCAGTTGAACGAAAGAACGAAATTCGCGAGAAAGTAGAAGAATTGAAACTGTGGGCGAAGCTTCGTGTCGCGTATAGAAACCAGGAGAGGAATAACGATTTTACCGGCGATTCTCGATCGACGAGTCCGATAATTTTCGCGCGAACGCGATTTGCAAGAAAAGGAAGGGAGAAAAAAAATGGAAAAAATAATAATAATATCGACACACTAACTGAGGTAACGATGACGACGAGCGATGACGATTTCGCGATCGGACTTATACAATCTAGTATCGAGGCAAAAAAAAGTGTATTCATTGTAATTCAGCATTATTACCTATAAATAAATAGTTGTTATTGTAAAGTCTCTCTACTGTGTGTTCATCCCTCTTTCAACCTTGTTGACGACATATTTGTTAACACTTTTTGCGTTTCGGTAAACACCGGCTGTAACCAACTTGTTTTTAAAATTAATAGTAATAATATAGAATTTTAACCACACCAATATCGTGTATAAATGATTATTTTACACAGGCCAGTAATATTTCGTGGTACGGGCATAAACTGCATTTAGTAATTCTGGCCTTATTTATTTACATAAAGTTAGAAAAACAGCAATCTTTTAAACAGTGAACGCCGCGTGTGTATCTTTTAGACGTTTTAATTAACACCGATAAATTAATCCACCTTCGGATCCTGCCGTTATCATCGTCGATAATTTCCTCGTCGAGCCGAAGAGAGGAGGGAAAAAAGGGGAAAAGAATTTCCAATAAACCACGGTAAGTGAATGTGCGCGCAAGATGGAAGAAAAGGGGAGAGTAAGTGGAAGGAGGAGTTAAAGAAGCGAGGAGAGAGCAAGGCGTTCGTGTTAGAATTTCAGCGGATTCCAGGGCGATAGATTCGTCGGGCGTCGGTCGAAGGAGCGTAGAGCACAAATTAAAGGGTACACCGGCACGGCGGCGGTGGGTCGTGGCGACGATGCATTCTTATCAATTTCCAACCACCCTAACGACTCGAGGCACGCGACGTCTGCCCATTGGTCAAGCCCTGGCTCCACCCTTTCGACGGGGAATATATTTTAATAATAAATAACGAGAATCCGGCCTTATGGTTCCGCGGTCCGCCAGGGTCGAGTCGTAGTCACTTAATTAAATCGGCGAGCGAACGTCTTAATAGGCCGTGGCCGCAACGCACACCGAACGATCTATGCACGCGTCGTCGATCCTCGGCTACGTGGTCACGTAACGCATAAACACAGGTAGCTCCGATGAAAAACGCAGCCACGCGCCTCTCGCTGAATTGTTCCTCGTATTATTTCTCCGCGATAACCGAGTAAAATAACAAATTTTTACCCTCTGCTTAACTAGACCGCCGGTCGGATAATTGGTTTCCCCCGAAAGAACAAACGCTTTTCTTCCAACGGGTGTAAGAGAGGAGAGGAGAGGGCGAGCAAGGTTTAACGGTTAACCAGGGAGAAAAGGGAAAGGCGCGCGTTTCGATGCAAATTAAGGCGTTCGTCGTCGGCTCTCCTCTGGGCGTCGCTCCGGAAGAAGAACACGAAGGAGACCCCCCGCGTCGCGTGTTTCGGCTTGCTCCTTTTCCATTTTTCCTCTCCTCGACGTTTCCAACCCCTCTTCGTTTCGCGTTACAGAATCATAAAGATAACCGAATTGCTCCGACTCGGAGCTTTTATTCCAAGGACATATTGCCCGACAATCATTCGGGCATTTGCATAATTATCGAATAAAACGAAAGAGCGAGAGCCCTCGAGGCACTTCTAATGCTCTGTGCGCCCGCGACTACGACTAATTTCATGCTCTCGACTTTTTCCTCGGCTGGCGAGGGGTCGGTTTTTCCTTCTCACCACTGTTCCCACCCCCGCCGTCACTCTTATTCCCTCTTTCTCTCGTCTCCTTCCTTTTCCCCTCGTCTTTTCGTTCGTCAGGCGCTTCGTGTTTCCGCGTCTCTCGCCGCCGCACGCGCGTTCCCAGCCAAGACGAGACCCTCGTTCGTCGCGGCCGATTAGCTTAATTCGGCCCCGGAACGACCAAATTCCTTCTAATTAGAATCGCAACGACCGACGTCCAGGGTGCTCTCTTTACGAGCCTTCTACGATCTCTTTTCTCTCCTCTCACGCTATCTCTCTCTCTCTCTCTCGCGAGCGAACGACTTCCTTCTGAAATTAACCGGGGAAAATACTTGCTTCTTTTCTTAATTTCACTTTGCCACCTAGATCGCTCGACGATTAATGAAGTTGAGAAAGGAAATCATTCCTATCCCTCGTAACCTTCTTCTCCGTCGATTCGAACGGAAAGAAGTGTCGCGTGTACAGCGTTGTCAGAAGTCGTTTGAGGCAGGCGAAGAAAAAAAATTCAAATGAATTCCGTGGCTACACGGTTAGCACTTTCCGGGAGATTTGCCGAAAACAAGAGGAGAGGAAGGATCCCGGGGGACCTTTTTGCACGACGACGCGCCCTTTCGTCGAGATGTCACCGCGGCTAACGAGGCCAGTCGAGCGGAGCAAAACAAGCGATTTTTATCAGGGTGGAGTGCGACGAGGGGGGTGGTGGAAGCCGCGGCGAATTATGCTAAACGACTTTAACCGCGTCTTCGCGCGACTCCAGCCAGAGACTACGCAAAAAAACAGCCGGAGGATTTCGCCGCGCGGCGCAACTTCTCTCGCGCGAAACTTTTCACCGAGGCGAAGAAACGCGCGGAGTAACATCGCCGAGTAAACCGGGCGGCAAGAAGAAAAATTTGCAATTATAATTACCGGCTCGTTTTGCCTCGAGAACGACGCTAGCGCGTGTACGCGCGTTTAAAACGGGTGTGTATATGCACGCCCGTTTTACCGTGCGCGAATTCCGCGCGATTTAACGACCGAATTCTACGCTCGACGCGGAGACTAGAACGCGGACAAAAAATCCGCTAGCCGGCGGAGAGAAAGGCGTTGCTTGCAAAATCAACAGCGACCGAGTTCAGAGTATATTCCGTGCTTATTCTGGGACTTTCGAATGCCGATCGGTAGTCAAATTGTGGACAGAATTGCGCTTGTCAATTTCCTGCTATCGTAGTTTTGTTTGTTCTCTTTTTCTTTTTATCGACGCATGGAAGGAGATATGAGACTCTGATAGCGCAGAGTGTAAACGACTTTTTCATTATTATATCGTAGTATGATAGTTAATTAGGTAAACTAAAGGTTTCTTAAATGGTTCGCAGAGGGTTTTGCTCTGTGTCCTAGAATAGCGAAAATCAGGAAAACATCGAACGCGACTGTATCGCCTCATTTTTCAAACCTGGCGTGAAATACTTTTCGCACAGTTGTCTCTTTTCTTTCCCTGAAATACGACACTTCGATAGTGTAGAATGAGCCATATGAGCCTATACATGATAGTGTATACATCCCTCGAATAGGAAAACTATCGAACGCGGCTCGGAGCAATCCCAGAAACGGCGAATCGACCAGGTACGTTGCACCAGTTGGAATTTCACCGATGAAAAGGGCAAAAGTGTGGTCGTTTACCAAGCGGCTCGTTATCTCCCAATCCAAGTGCAAACGAGCGGAAGGGAATCCTTCGTTTTTCCCTATTTCGGTCACGGTACGACTCGATACAGAGGGGATGCGAGGAGCAAAGAGGAGAGGAGAAACGGCCGGGGGAGAGATTTTTCGAGAATGGTTCGTAAAGGGGGGGAGAGAGGGAGTCGGTGGCCCCCGGTCTCGGTTTCAGGGCTTCGGACGCATAATTACACCCTTGCGCATCGAGCACTCGGCGAACGACGGTGGAGAGAGGCGAAGCTCAACACTTTCCAGGGCGCCCCGTCCGTGCTCCGTAG